AGATTGTTGCTTTGTCACGACTTTAAGGACGGCTATCAGCAGTGGGAGGCCGCCGCGGAGGGCGTGTCTGGCGAGCAGTGTCCGCCCGATGCAGATATGTGGAGGTTTAACCATTGGGCTTATGTCGACATCTTTGTCTACTTTTCCCATTATTGTGTCACCATTCCGCCTGTTGGCTACATTCACGCCGCCCACAAGCATGGCGCCCTCGTCTTGGGCACCCTCATTTTTGAGTGGGAGAAGGGCGCCAAGGAACTGCAAAACATCCTGGTTAGCTTCAAGACCCGCGCGAGAGCTGCCAGTCAGTTGGCTTCAATTGCCAAATTTTATGGCTTTGATGGATGGCTCGTCAATGTCGAGGTTGAACTTCCGGGCGGATCTTCGGCCGCTTCCGATTTGGCCGCTTTTGTTGGCGATCTCACACGTGCTACCAGGAAGATTGTCGGCCTCGTCTCTGAGGTCATCTGGTATGACTCTGTCACCCGCGATGGCTCCCTCAGGTGGCAGAATGAATTGAATCAGGACAATGAACAGTTTTTCAAAGCAGCCGGCTCTATCTTCACAAACTACCATTGGGACAGAAACGCCCCTGTCCGATCCGCTGTCAAAGCCGGCACCAGACGCACCGATGTCTTCACTGGCATCGACATTCATGGCAGGAAGACGTATGGCGGCGGTGGATTCCAAGCCCACTTGGCCTTGCGCGCTATCAAGCAAGGCGGCACGTCTGCAGCGCTTTTCGCCCCGGCATGGACCGTTGAAAAGTGCCCGCCCAATGTATCCGATCCTCGCGAACTTGAAGACCGCTTCTGGACCGGCCCATCCGGTCGTTTTGGACGCGAGTCTGTCGCTCAGTACTTCAAGGAACGCCCGGTGCTTACTCAGATTCCTTTCTCTACCTCTTTTGATCCGGGATGGGGACCACGTCTTATGGAAAAGGGAGTCGTCAAGTCTCCCGACCGATATTTTAATATGGCTCAGCAGCATATCCAACCGTCTTTTATGCGCACATATGTTGCCGCCGGTGACGTTTCTGCTTCAGAGCTCTGTCTTTCTCACGAAGAAGCATTCAATGGTTCGGCTTCCATCAAGACTCGCTTTGCCTTTTCAGAGTCTCGTATGCTGTCGGGTTCCTTCGCAATTCTTCGCTTGCTTGTCGCGAACCTTACCTTCCCCACACGCCTGTCTTCAAGGATCACAAAATCTCAAGAAGGCGCAATTCGCGTATCCTACAGTTATTTGGCCAAGTCAGAAAAGGACCCAATCTCCGCAGGGGATGACTTTGGTTTGGTTTTCATGGTCTCCTCTCCACCGGGAGCTCTTCTCCTCGTTGGTGAAAACTCAAAATGGAATGACCGCAAGGGTGATGCTGCTGGTCATCGCATCGTGTCACGTATGCAGATCCTTGGCAAGTTTGTCAACTTTGAGGTCGTCGTGGCAACCTCAGATCAAGCAGCAATTGGTGCACCCCCTGCGGGAGATGGCACCACGGGGTGGAAGACGCGGTCATTCATTCTAGAGGGGTCTCTTACGTCAGGGCAAAGACTGGGAGAAGTAATGATCATCACGGGTGGCCCACCCCAGCAGCCGATATCAGTGAATCCCTCACCATTCATATCACCGTCCGTTTCCCGAGGCATCTCGAGAGTCGGTTCCCGATCAGCTTCGCGCATTGGATCCGCTGCGACATCTCGTGCAAACTCCCCACCGCGTCGCGGGTATGATCGGGAGGACAGTATGGGCTATCGCAACCGGGGTCTCGCCACGGTTGGCGACTCTGGGACGCCAGCAAGGACTGGCGATGCTGATGGAGACGATTTTGGTAGCGATTTGCTCAGCAAGTACAGGCAGTCATTTGGGCCACGGCGACCGAGTGAGTCTGGAATTTCGCGGGGGCAACGACCCGAAGCTGTGCAGTCGATTGGTGTAGGCTTTGATAGAAGGCAAATTTCGGGGGGGTGGTTACAACGAGGGCTGGATGGTGATGATGAGAGGGCTTACGACAATCAGAATCGGCTCTCATACCACCCTAGAATGCCCGAGGCCAGAGCGGATCGCGGGGATCGAGAGGTGCAGTACGCAGAGCCAAGGGCTCTTGTTGGTGGGCAGCGGGCATCGAGTTATGCGCACAACTTCCAAGTCGACGGTACAATCGACTATGGCGAGATGGAAGAGGACGACCAAGGAATGTACTCAGCGAGCACGTCGCGAGCGCTGAGTCGATTGGGTTCTAGGTTGCAGACGCCTATAGGTAGCCGGCCTCTATCTCGATTCGGGTCTCGCCTTGGTTCTTTGCATGGATCGAGATCGGGATCCATGGCGGGGTCTAGATTAGGGTCCAGAGTGGGGTCTATGGCGGGGTCAAGGACCGGATCTTTTGCAAACTCACTCGCCAATTCAAGAGCGGGATCGCGGCAGGGGTCTCGATTTGCAAGCCCTTCGATGACGCCTCACAGTGGTGGTGGCGGTGCCATGCCCCTTAGTGACAGCATGCGACGACTATCTACGCGCGGCATGATTCCAGCATCTGGGACAGAATTTGACAGGCAAGAATTTGACAGGCAAGGAGAAGCCGCGAGCGGGATGGCGACGCCGTCGCGCTCGAACGCGGCTTTGAGCGATTTGAAATCAGCGCTGATGCAGGCGGCAGGATCCATGGCAGGGGAGGCTGCCGAGGGCAGACCAAAAGTGGTTGGAAGTGTGTCGACGAAGAGCTGCATTGTGTACCTGGGGGAGCTGTCCATCGAGGTGATCACGGACACTGACAAATCAATGCCAGCGTTATTTGACGGCTCAACGTGTAGATAGACTGTTTGATAGTGCGTGTGTACATATTTGTTGACGAGGATTGCAAGCTGGTGAAGAGGGATAAAACGTTTCAGTCTAGTGTGAAGATGCCTGCAGACATTCGGACTAGTGGGGCGTCCTTTTGAGCGAGCGAGGGAGCCTGGTTTCGCCGCACTTGCATACCACTGTCGGCAAAGTGGGCGGAGGCAAGTACGTAGACTTGTTTTCCTGCAGTGAAGCCGTAGGTTTTCCCAGCCCATGCTTTAGGCGGCCTCATGTCGCGTTCCACTTCTTCCCCCTAGGGAAGAGGGAAGGCTGTCTTTTTCTTTTTCGTAAAAGACAGGCCGAAGAAATGGGGCTGCCCTCTGTTGTGTTTTGCGTGCCAAGAAGAGTAGTTCAGTCAAGAGAGAGACTTTTTAACACAAATGCATTTTCCATTTTGCATCGCTGCGAGTGATACTCGTGATACTCCAAGGCCCCTCCACCCAATCATCACCTCCCACGCGTCCCCTCCCAGATTTTCCCCTGCGCCAACCAAATTGCAGAGTCCAAACAGAACAAGATTTTTTCCCAACAGCGCTATGATACGTCACGCAACATCCAACCCCCCCAGCTCGTATACGAAGTCCTCATTCCCACCGCTCCCCTCTCTCCCCTACAGCAGGCAAGTTTCCCTCCACCCCCGTACCCCGAACAAGAACAACAACTAAAGCATGGCCTTCGTCCCCGCCCTCCCGCTCGCGTTCCGCGCAACCACCTCGCACGCCCACCGCCACCCGCTCCACCCCTCCCCGCTTCCCCACTATGGCGCTCCCCCCACCCGCCGCGCCCGTCCGGCCATGTCCGCGTCCGACAGCGCGGCCACTTCTCCCACGGTGTCGCGCATCCGCCACGACGGCGACCTGGAGGCCGCGTACCGAGTATGGGCCGCGGACGCGGCGCCCGATGCACGGACGGGCCACGTGCG